TCCTGAGCCTGGAGCGAGCATCCAGGGGCTTCTGGCGCTGCGTGGCCCCTGGGACGGCTGGAAGTTCTGGTCGGTAGTGGTCTGCTCTCATCTCACTCAGGCGAAGGCTCTTCCAGTCCCGCCAGGCCCTTTTGCTGTTTCGCCGGTGCACTCGGGGTTTGTTTCTCCTTCTCTGATGCAGATTGACCAAGTCAGTTACTCTGGTAGGAGATGCTGGGGGTGGGGGTGGAGGACAGAAGGAAAGAAAACTTTTTAAAGGCAGAAAGCTATTTTTAAACATTGACAGAGACAAAAACCCAACACAGCCTGTACACATTTAAAAGTCGGAAGTGGGATGTCAAAGGCCTATTTTTGGCCACCTCTGCTGGGGAACAGTGTGTAACCCACTAACCTCGGCAGCATCCCCAGGAGGTGCTGCCTGCGGGGGGCGGGGGCGAGGGCGCCGCACTGGCCTCGCCTGGTGAACAGCAGGCGCAGGGGAGCATCTCGGGGGTTTCCTTCTTTCCACCTTTGCTTTCAGAGCTGCTTTGGGCTCATGGCCCCAAGGACTGGAGACCCGGGAGCTGAGAGCCCAGCACGGGGAAGGCCGGCCAAGTCATGCTCCAGCGCTGCTGGCTGCCTCCTCCTGAGAAGGAACAAGCATCCCCTGGGCCAGGCCAGGAAACAACACAGCTGTCGGGGGACAGGCAGGCAGGCCCAGCGACCTTCATGGGAGTCCAGCCTTTAGATGACCTGATTCCACCAGATACCTGGTTGCATTTTTTGTTTGTTCGTTTGTTTTTAAGTGAGGACTAGACCCCAGAGCGGTAGTTCTATTTCCCATTCTTTTCAAGCAGTTTCCCAGAACATAAAATGCTTGTGGGTGATCTGCCTGGGGAAGGAAAGGGTAGGTGCTCGCCCCCTCCTCAGCTTCCTTCCCTGCTCTTCTGAAACCATCTAGGTCATCTCAAGAGTTGTCAGGTCTCTACAGTTGCCTGACGTTGCACAGGGAATTCCCGGACTGGCTTTGGTGGGTGTCGCTTAGAACGCGGGGTTTCAGTTGAGATTATTCTACAGGATCAGCTCAATCTGGGTTTATTTTGTCTGCGAGAGAATTGGGATTGTCTCTTTCTCAACTTTCAGAAGGTGGGTTGTTCCTTCATGCTTTCTGTAGTGAGACTCTACAGGATTAAAAAGTGAAGTCCATGAGACTCATTAATCTTTCAGAAATTGGTCCGATCTCACTTTGTTTAGTCAACATGAGATTTTCTGAAAATCAGCGCTTTCCTAAAAGACTGCAGTGAGCTTAAAAAAAACCTGCTGGAGCGTTTAGAAAAGCACAAGTCCAGTTACAGGTGTTTTCACCTAATACAGGAAAACATCTGTCATAATATTTGGCGGACTGCGGAGCTGAGGCTGCGTGAGTTTGGGAGGCTTCCAAGCAGAAAAGGTTGGAAGTCGATGGAAGTGAATCTGGGCCTCCTCGGCCGGGGCAGAGGGTGTCTCCTCCCTGAAGCTCGTCTGCCCACTGCTGTCCTCTCCTTAGTATTACATCTTGGGCACCTTTTCAAAAACCTGCTACTGGTTTCTTGGGGGCAATGAGGTATTCATTCTTCTGGGCAGTCCTGCTCAGGTGGAGACCTCGAACCAGAAACTGGTTATCCATAAACTGGGTGAGTTACCAACAGCTACCCCACTGCGGAAGATGCTGCACAGACAGCTCACCCACACATCTCTGAAGGGACGTGTCTGCACCATAAGTGGGGTTTTGTAGCATTAACGCCATGCGATGTTAAATCTTTTTTTTTTATGACAAGAAAGGTAAAGGAAATGTCGAGATGGTGTAACACTGATGCCCCCAGGCCAGTGCCATACATCGGCTAAAGGCCGAGGGCCCTGGCTCTGACAGGGGCCTACTGTACCCCATTTTGAGGGCTTTAGGAGTTACTTTCTGATACTCAAGCGGTTAATTAATATTTTGAGGGGTTTGGAAAATGATAAGAAAATTAACAGAATTACTTCGTTATAGAGCTTCCCCGTCCCCAGCACCAGCAGGGCTGTTACCCCAGGTAGTGGAATTCCAGAAAGCAGAGGGAGTGTGACTGGGCAAGGCACCCAACCTTGCCCTCCCCAGCATCTGGGATGTGATACAATCATACTTGCTTGCCGAGTCATTTATGGACAAAACAGCTAGAACAGGGCCCAGTACAAACATTGAACAAAAGTTTTCTCCCACAGGGAAGACATGATGTCAGAGATGCCCTGTTTCTGGTCGTCTTGTACGGCCTTTCCTCTTGGCCAGCCAGCTGTGTTCTCTGCCAGCGGCAGACGGGGAGACCTGGCAGTGGCAGCAGCAATGGGGCACAAGCCCCCTGGGAGCCTAAAAGGCCAAAAAAAACCTCCAAGACCGAAAGAAGGAGGCGACGAGGCAGGTGTGGGCTGGGGCTGCTGGCAGTCACCTGGTTAGTGAAGGTGTATCCTGCCTGATACACCAGGCTCGTTTCCACGCAATCCGGTCTCCTTGTACTTCTTCTCAGAAGGGTGACCAGGGAGACTCTCCGTCTTTCTCAGCCCTCTCCTTTCCGGAGGCAGGGAAGCACCGCCTGGTTTCTCAGCAGTGCCCCCAAGAGAAAACCTGCGGGAATTGGGCGTGCCCTGCCGGCCGGCCCCCGCCTGCCCTGCGGAGCCGGGAGCGGAGCTGCTGTAACCGGATAGTGCTGTTTCCATTTGGTCCGGGGCTCCAATATTCTCCTGTCTTTTTTAATGTATCTTCTAAAGTGAACACATCCTCAGGCGGCTGGTGAGATGTGTAAACATTGTCTGGTGTGTGGCCAGGCCGGGTACCTCTGTCTCCCCTGCCCAGGCCTTGCAGCCCACGATAGCGAGCGTGCCAGCAGGGGAATTAGGGACGCGGGCGCCGGCAGGCTGCTCTCAGACGTGGAAACTCCTCTGTTTTGCAGTGCGGCCTGTTCATTTTTTGCTTTTTGTCTTGTTGTGCGTCCTAGGAGTTGGAGGGGACTGGGGGAGGATTTGAGTCTCTTTGCCATCTGCCAGGGCATTTTCTCCCAGTTAACATGCAGCCTTACTGGCATTTTTGGGTCAGAAATGGAGACCGTGGTGCTCAAGTAACACACTGGGGACCCTGGGGAGCGTCTCCAGGTGGTACTTGGGCCAGTTCCTCTGTAGTCAGTCAGGGTCACAGAGCTCTGACCTTTGGAGACCAGCGGCGTTTGGGGAATAATATTGGCTTAAGTGGACCATGTCCCCAAGTTTAATATGTACTGATCCGGGTGCAGGGAGACGGGGCAGGCACTGCCCTTTTAAACTACCTTGCGTTTCCGTGGGCCTCTTTTTCCTGGAAATGGACTTGTACCCGCTTTCCTTCCCACAGTAAATTTTCAGTATTTCTCGTTCAAAAAAAAATTTTTTTTAAACTGGCATTTCTCTTCAGCTAAAGATTCTAGCTGAATCTCAGGTTGAGGGAGATGTGGGTGCAGACAAAACACTCTGAGGTTTAATGGCTGCCAATATGCGAATTGTCTCATTTTTAAACACGCTAATTGCACACGGCCGTTGCAGCCTCATGATTCCCAGCTTTTGTTTTTGTTGTGAATTCTTTGTCGTGGAACCTGCAGAGTTGGAGGGTCCTGTTCCAATCTGTGGTGGTGCTTCTTGGGGACCTGTTTGCATGTTTAAGGACATGTTTTAATACTCCTGTGCGGGGCTTCCCCTTATCTAAATAACTGCTGTTCTTTGCTTTTTTTTTTTTTTAATGGAAGTACTGGGGATTGAACCCAGGACCTCATGCGTGCTAAGCATTTGTTCTGCCACTGAGCTACACCCTCCCCCTGTTCCTTCCATTATTGCACCTAAGGTCCCTGGTGGGCTATGTAAAATCTTAATCCATGGGAATATGGAAAATGATCTGCAAGGTCTAAGCCAGGCTGAGCCTGCTGGAGTTATGCTCTCCTTGCAAACAGATTTTAAAGAGAGACACGCCCCCAGCAGCAGCCTCCTTCCGGTTTTGCTTCTTAATGTTGGGGTTTCACCGTTGACCTCTGTTGCAATCTTAAAATGATAAATTCTGGATACATGCGTGGCTTGTTTCTCTGTTGCTGCTGTTTTTCGGGCAGCGTGAGACGATCTGTGTCTGTGTTTTACGATAATACGGTAAAGAATCCATCTGGACTTGAGCAGTGTAGTAACTCTTTTGATACATGACCAGAGAGTCATCTCAGCCAGATTTCAATATTGGCGAAGCATCAGGCTGCAGACCTGGCCCATCTCTCTGGGCACCTTGTGTTCTAGAACTGCGCGTGAGGTTTTTTTGTTTGTTTGTTTTCTTTTTATCTGGCCTGCCTGTTCACCTTTAATTTGTTCTTAGCCGTGTGCAGTGGATTAACTTCATCAGGGTGGATTAAGATTGAATTGACATTAAAACAGTCTTTTTCTTGTTTTCCTCCTGTCACTTTTAGGCAACTGGGGGCAGGGGGTGGGGGCACCTTCGGGAGAGGGAGGCAGCGCTCATCCAAAAAGTACCCTGGTGAGGACGAGGGAGATAAGCCGTAGCTTCAGTGTGAAAATAATTCCCAGCTGCAGGTCGGGAGGCCTGGATGGAGCACACAGCCGGCTTCGTCAGTCTAACGGGATGTCACGTGGAACACAAGCTTTAGGGGTTTTATTTAGCTCCTAATCCGCACGCTGAGAGCGCAGAGGTCCATGTGAGAGCGCCAGCCGGGAGGGGGGCCTGGTGGGCTGGATGCAGCCTTCTTTCTGGGACTGAGCCGTAAAGGAAAGACCTCTGGTGCTACTGTTGGAGAGTGAGGCAAAGTTACCGTGAGTGTTGTGTTCTGTCTACTAAGGTTTCGGAGGATTAATAATTTAGGCCATACTTTGAAATAGAAAACCCCCAGTTGGTTGTTCCTGCTGTCTTGGAAGGGTTAGAATACAGCCAGGTCTGGTTTTGATGTATGTAATTGAAGATTTATAAAGAAAAGCTTCCTCCTCTGCTTCGGCCACGTTTTTTTTTTTTTCCAATGCCGGTTCCCAGCAGGCATATAAATATTGGCCGATCTCAGAGCTGGGATGCTGCCGGGTGGTACGAGGGCCCCTGGGAGATCGCTGAGGCTCCAGGGAGGAGGAGCTCCCTGACGGATGGAGGCGGAGAGGGACCTTGGTCCGAGCAGCTGAACCCCGGGCTTCAGGATGTCACCATGCCAGGGGCTGCAGGGCCCTGCCTCTACCGGGAGGCCCTCTACAGCTCCGTGGCCGGAAGGAAGAGCTCCGTTCCTGACTTCACCTTTTACGACAACAGACAGGCGGCGATGTCAGCTCGCGGAGCCCTGCTACCGCGGGATTACTACAGTGACCCAGCTGGAGCCGCCCGGGTGCCCAGAGAGCCTCGGCACCATCGCAACCTGGGAGTCAGCCAGCCACTGCCCGGTTATGGAGCTCTGGGCAGCAGGATGACGTGGGATCCAGTGCAAGGCCGGGTCCCTGCCCTGCAGGACACGGGTCACCTGTACCGGGATCCTGGTGGTAAAATGATCCCTCAGGGGCAGCGATCGCAGAGCAGGGCCTCATCGCCCGCGCGGTACACAGGGGAGCCGGCCGACAGCAGGTACGGGGTGGAGGCGCCCGTCTACCCCGCCAGTCAGGTCTACAACCATGTGGGTGAGAGATCTGTGGATTCTGCCCCCGCCAGGCAGGCAGCCCCCACATGCCTGGTCGTGGACCCCAGCGTGGCTGCTGCCTCCGGGGTTGGCACGGGGGCAGCTCCAGGCACCCTGAACCGAGGCTACGTGCCTGCCCAGGAGAGTGTGCACCCCAGGATGGCTTACGAGAATTGTGAGGCCGACCTGTCCGCCTTCCAGGGGCCTGGCGGCAGCAAGAGGAGTGTGATGCCTGAGTTCCTGGCCTTCCTGCGGGCGGAGGGCGTGGCAGAGGCCACTCTGGTGGCCCTGCTGCAGCAGGGCTTCGACTCCCCAGCCGTCCTGGCCACGATGGAGGATGCCGACATCAAGTGCGTGGCGCCCAACCTCGGCCAGGCCCGCGTCCTGAGCCGCCTGGCCAGCAGCTGCAGGACGGAGATGCAGCTGCGCCGGCAGGGCCGGACACGCTCTAGCAGCTTCAGCCACCGGAGCGAGCTTCACGGTGACTTGTCTGCTCTGGGTGCCCCGGCCTTGCAACCCCAGCCGGTGGGACCCTTGCAGGCGGCGTCCCCTCGGGCTGGAGACTCGGCTCGCCGCCCCTCCAGTGCGCCATCCCAGCACCTCCTGGAGACAGCTACCTACTCTGCCCCGGGGGTGGGCACCCAAGCCCCCCACTTTCCGTCCAACTCTGGGTACAGCTCTCCCACTCCATGTGCCCTGACAGCGCGGCTGGGCCCCACGTACCCGCCGCAGGCCGGAGTGGCCTTGACTAACCCGGGCCCTGCCGCCCCACTTCACCCAGGCCCCAGAACAGCCTATTCCACCGCATACACGGTGCCCATGGAACTGCTGAAGCGGGAGCGCGGCGTGGCCGCGTCCCCCCTGCCCAGCCCCCACGGCAGCCCCCAGCTCCTGCGGAAGCCCGGTGTCCCCGCGGAGCCCTCCACCCTGCCGTCAGCCAGCCAGAGCCTGCACTCGCCCCACTCGCCCTACCAGAAGGTGGCCCGGCGGACGGGGGCCCCCATCATCGTGTCCACCATGCTTGCACCAGAACCAAGTAATGCACCCCTCCCTGCCTTTCCCCGCTTGGGGTGTTGAGGGGACGGTGGGGACAGGGGCTTGAGCACAGGACAGTGAGTCCTTACATTCTTGTTGTTCTCTGGCCAAGCCTAGAGAGACCAGACCCACACCCCAACTCGCTCACACATACACACACACTTGGCCATCAGGGCACGTGGCCAACTGCCAAGGATTCTCTTGGGTGGAGCAGATTTGCAGTTCAGGCTGACCCACTGGGATGACCTTGCCTTGCCTTTCTCAAATTGAGCTCAAGTTGATTTGTGAGGGTTCCCTTCATGGTGAGGACACAACCGTGTTTATGGGAGAGACCCAGAAATCATTCAGAACGGGATAACACCCTCGGTTCCTGAGGGGTGGCGTTTGCAGTTCACTTTTGCTGGGTTTGGAGAAGGTGGGCTCCTCGTCCAATGCCTCCTGTAACCTGGGCATCATTCACTTGCCATTAGAAGTGCGTCACCGGGTGGAAACTATCGTGTGGGCTCCGAAGGATATCCACGGTGTCGGAGGTAGGACTGATCCCTGCAGAGCTGAGAACGGGTGTGCTTCCAGACTTGTGTGTTAAACAAAGCAAGATGTTGAAATCCCTTAGAACTCCGTTTCAAAAACAGACTTAGTCTCGCATATTGGAAAACACAGTCAGAAATTGTGCTTACTTGTAGGGGAGAATATACTTCCAAGTTGAGGAAAGGGAGCGATCCTCGCTGATTGTCTTCAAAACGCGAGACAAGTATAATTGAATGCATTCATTTATAATTGAATGTGTTTTCTTGGGCATTTGGATAAAGTTCCAGGTGGACATCCTCTGAGCAGCATTGAAGAATTTTTATTTCAACTCTAGAATCTTTACTGGCGATTTAAGCTATAAACTGGGTTTCTCCTCTTTCCCATTGCCTCCCCAAAATGACTTAGAAAACAGAATCCTTTTCAAATGAATTTTTTTTCCCTAGATAACTAGCAGTATGGGGTAGAGGTAGTGGGATGAAAATCGTGGTGAAGATAAGATGTACCTTTTTGAAGATACCCCTTCAATTGTGGGTGGGGACTGGGGGCCTGATCTCGCAGTCCTGAGATGCTGCGTCTGTTGCACTGGTGGAGCGATGATGATTTGGTTACTGATAATCTGCAATGGCCGTTGGTGCTTTGCAAATTGACCTCCACACAGATTTCTTATCTCCAAAAGGAGACTGACTGGTTGGATTTTTCTGTTGTCTCTCACTGTAGATTCTGGTTTTGTCTCATATGAGGATTTTTTTTTAAGTCTTATAAAAATTTTACTTTCTTTTTTTAATCATTGTGTGTCAGGAGAAAAGTCAGATAATGCTTCCCAGGGCCTGCGCCTTCTTCCTCACAGACAAACATTCTTTCTTTGCAACCAACTGATTTGCATGGCGATGACATTTGTTGCTTCAGTAATTTCATCTGATAATGGCCGGGCTGGCAAAGCGGATCTGAAAACATATTCCTTAATTATGTGTTGCTAAGCAACGGGAGGGTTTGGTCATAATCACAGAAAGATTATCTCCGCACTGAAGTCCTGGAAAGGTTTTGCTGAAGGAGGACCTGTTAAATTGCCTTATTTTCTTCTTTTTCTGTTTATTTTGCACTGCCTTCTAACAAAAACAGTCACTGTTATTTGGGCATAGGGTGAAGGGATAGTATTTAAGTTGTTTGCAGTGTGATTGTTAACACACGGTTTTGCAGACCAAGGGATATTGATTTTTGTTTAATTTGCACGGCAGCAAGCCAGTGCCAAGGAAGTCTGCAGTTGGAAGTCTGCCAGCAAATAAATTTCTCTGTCAACCGATCTGTCCTGGAGCAGGGGCTCTCCCCAGTCCTCATACCTTCGGTGTGTCATGACAGCCCTCCCCACCAAAGCAGTGTGTCCAGGACCGGGGAGGGGTGGGGTAGGAGCTAGGCTTCCCCGGAAGCTTTCAGCCTGCATACAGGGCGTTTTGGGTGGCAGGCTTCGTAAAATTAGCAGCCCGATTGGGATCTGTTGGAACCTACAGTCACACTCTGGGCGGTCGTTTTGCCCCCAAGATGATAACATTTGCGTTGAAGGAAAGCACCACAGACCTCAGATCTAGAAACCTGAAGCTCCCGGGGGCAGCCCCACCACCTTGGCTGCTGAGCTGAGCTGAAATGGGAGCTGGCGATCTCTAAATCCAGATCGAGCCACTACGGTCATTTGTGGCACAACCAGGATGAATAAATCTTCATTCTGGTCTTCATTTAACTCACGTTTCCCTCTGGTCTGGAGGGGTAGGGATGTCCTGTGACTCTCTCCCCTCTCCCTTTGGAGGGGTGAGCTGAGTGTTTGCAGCAGGTTGGTTGGTGGTTTTTAAGTGCCTGTTTTTATGTGCTTTGGATATTTTAATTTTTTTAATGTTCATTTTTTTATACAATTTTTAGAGGTAACTTTTCCATTTTCAGTTTTACAAAGTATTAGCTATATTCTCCACGTTGTACAAAACATCTTTGAAAGTGGGTATTTTAATTTATCTTTGCTTTTCTCGGTCCATGAACGGCTTCACCTTGGTTGGCTTTATTGGTGTAAATCACAGGCTCCTGTTTGCTGTTCTGTGGAACGGGCAGCGGAGGGTGCCCAGGTGAGGAGAGGCCCCGGTGCAGCCCCCGGCCATGCGGGATTAGTGGGGTCACATGTCAGACCCACGTGAGCGGAGGCCCCTGGCGGAGCTGCTGCCTGCGGCACAAGCTGCAGAACCTTCTGGCAGTGGCTGGAACCCGGCGACGCCCCTCCCCCACATCACGTGGTGTCGACCACGGCCCAGGATTTGCTGTTGCCCAAATCGTCCATGTGCCAGATGCAGCAGGATGCATCCTGCAAACAGCAGTGCTGCAGCTCGTGGTTATCATCGTCGTCGTCGTCCCCCCAACCCCCCAATGCAGCAATGCCCAAGCGCTGTGGGGTGCTCCGCAGAGGAGCAGACCCTGCGCTGCGCCCAGAGCTTCAAATGTGAGAAATGCAGCCCCAGCCCACTCTCTCTGGGCCTTTTCTGTTTTCTGCCAGGCATTTTTCTGGATGCGACTCCATTGATTAAGTACATCTGTGACCTGCAACTAGTTGCCGGGGTCACTGCCCAAAGACCCTTCAGCACAGGACAGGGTGTCCATGCTCAGCTTTCACTGGGGCTGCAGGAGAGGCTGGTGGTGTCACAGTGTTCATCTGTCACCAGAACTGGTCACTCGACTAGCAGAGCTTGATGTGGTGCTAACATCGTGGGACTGGTTTCCAACACTGCGGGTGGACACGCCAGGTCTCCTATAGGAAGTCCCATCAGAATCAGAATAGAGGATCGTTCGTGTTGGGCCCACACACACCTGGTGATTCCTCCCAGGTTCTTGATTTTGTTGGAAGGACCCTCTGCACGTGTAGATCTGTGCTGGAGAATAGGGGTCCAGACAATTCACTGGTTTTGAGGGGGTGATGACCCTCAAACCATCAGCCTGGAGGAGGCCACCCTGAGGCCCCAAAGCCAACTGATCCCACCCATTCCCCTGCCCCCACAGCACAGGCCGCCCGAGAAAGGTGGGCTCAGCCCCCTCCGTGTCCGTGTCCAGGAACTGGTGTTGGGACCGTGCGCCTGAGCTGGCCCTACAGAGCAGGGGGCGGTGACACCACCTCTTCTGGAGAAGAGTGTTACGTTGTCAAGATCATGCAGCCTGGCTGGGGAGACGTGTGAAGTAAGGAGGACCCCAGGGCAGGGTTCCTGAGCATCGCTCCCCTCTCCCCCGCTGTGTTCCGAGCCTTGGGTCACGTGTTTGCCGCTCACGGCAGGTGCACCCCACCCTGGGGCTTTTACACCCCGCCCCTATTCATACATAAAAGGACAGTTGCTAGGACGTAAAACAAGGGCCTGGGTAGGGACACGGGTTGGGGCGTCGCAGCACGTTGTGGTCAGGCCAAGGGCAAGGACACTGCCCAGACCAACTCAGGGTGATTGTGTGTGTGTGGGGTGGGGGTGGGGGGCGATGTGGCCAGTGAGGGCCGCTAAGGTTCTGGCGGCTGTCGGCCTGTGACTCCCTGGGCGTCTCCCAGGCTTCCTTGCGGAGTGACGTGCACCTCCGCCCACAGGAAATCCTGGCCTCGTGGAGCTGCAAGGGGGCTCACCCCAGCAGGACTCTCCTCCAGCTCTGGCTGAGGCCCTTCGCCCCCTCGGCCTCCCTTCCACGTCGAGCTCTGGGGAGGGGCAGAGCTCTTCCAGGGGCCGACAGCTAGGCCATTCCACGTCAAACCGCCGAAACAAGCCCAAGGCCAGTGGAAGCGACAGGCGCTTGTCTCGCGTCGTGCTGGGTTGGTCCCCGGGGCCGGCGCGGGTGAGTGCGTCTGGAGGCAGGCGCTGCGCTTGGTCACTGTGCCCCTGTTCGGGCGCCCCTCGGCGGGGCCTGCTCCCACCCTCCTCCTCGCCTCTTGGCCGCTTCTCAGGCGCTGGGCCTGGGGCTGGACTTACCCTGCAGCTCTGTCCCTCAGCCACCTCCTCTGACCTTCTGGGTGTGGACTTGGCCCTGCTGTGCCTGCTGGGGCGGAGGGAGCAGTCATAGTGAAGCCCGATGGCCCGTTCACTGAACCGGGGGTCTGGGCATTTCTGTAAACTCGCCTCTTCTGTCTCTCCCTCCCCGCTCCCCCCAGCTCAGACCCCCTCTGCAGGGGAGGGGTGTCGGTGATTGCACGAGGAGTGTGGTCTGTGGGGAGGGTTTGAACCCCAAGTTCTCTGCCTAATGAGCTGGGAACCCCCCCCTTACCCCCTGGTGAAATGGACTCCTGGCCACTCGCAGGGCTCCAAGGTCACTGTGGGTCTTCTTCTGCCCAGTGCGGTGTGAGCCCCATAGAAGGGCAGTAGTGAAACTAGTCCTTGCTTTCCTGCAGGTTAGTTCAAGGGAACTCGTCTGTGTCCTCCCGGGGGAAGCTGGGGCCAAGGCTACTGCTGGACGGTGGCCAGCTGTGCCTGAGTTCTG